AGTTTCAGCCAACCCGTGCTGGACCCGGGCAGAGTTTGCCATCGGCCGGTTGCCCACTGCCGTGAGCTGTGTCTAGTCTTGTGTCTTGCAGTTTTTTGCTCGGCTTCTAAGCTTGAGTTCTGTGTACTCACTCCGCCTAATCAATCACAGTGAAAAGGTTTGCCCATGTTTTAGCCATGACTTCACAGTGTTTTTCCCGCTCCCCCCCCTCCCCAAAGTAAACATTGGGAAACTGCATCTTCCCAAACGTCAGATGATCACACACCGGAATTAGCTTTCACGTTGAGGTAATGGTGACTGACCCGTTCTCTGTCATCCCATGGAGAAACTTCCCCAGTCATTTTGTACCATTATATAAATATATATATAAATATAAATATATAAATACAATATGTGAAGACATCTTATTGGTTTTTATTTGAAACAATTTTTAGGCTTGTTTTTGGGTATCTGTGCTGCCTGTAATGTATTGACCTGTTTTATAGGTGCCTTTTTATTAAAAAGACAAATTTCAAAACCTGATCCCTGTGCCTGTCTTCAGTGGTCTGTGTGCTTTTCTCTAGGGGCACAAGCAGGTGTGCTCGGCCTGCTGTCTCTGAGGGCTCGAGCCGTATGACCCGCAGCAACAGGCTGGCACTGATGGGAAGAGCTCAGCTGCCTGCAACGCAAACACGTCTCCGTCGGTCAGCTGCTGTGTTTGAGACGTGAGGGCCTCTTTGGAAGGAGAAAGAAGTTGTCTGTGCGTAAGTTATGTGCATCAGGTGGAGATTTTACTGCAGTTGGAGTTTCCTTCCTGTGCATTTCATGGCAGTGACTGTTCTTAGCAGCGTTTGCTGTGGTCTCTGAAGGGGGCTGGTTTGTGTTTCTCCGGCTCTGCGTGCGCGTGCGCTCCCTCGGGATGCGACGGGAGCCTGCCCTGCAGCCCTGCGTTGCGCTCGGACCGTGCGTGGCTCTGCCTTCCTGCGCTCTGCGGCTCCTCTGGCTTGAGGCGGTCGTCTGCAACCGGCTGCGGATAAATAACTGCCAGGAAAGAAGCAGCCTCCTTCCCGCGTGTCCCTTCCTCCTTGCTGTAAATCCTGTCTCTCCAGTTGCTCTGAGCACACTGGCTCCTTGTTACCCGTGCTCCACAGGAGAGCTGCAAGCCCTCCGGCAGGGATAGGTGAGGCCCAGCTGTCTGGCTGAGGTGCAAGTGCTGCTGCCAGTGCTGACGGTCCCATCTGCTGCAGCTTTCAAGCAGTTATTATGCACCTCCATCCAAAGGACGATCCTGCTCTTCACAAGGTGCTGCGGGCTGCCTGGGGAGCTGGGATGCCAGCGCTTTGTGAGGGCCTGCACGTCACTACCCTGGTACTATGAGCAGCGGGGAGCGATCGGCCGCTGTGGGCAGTGAGAGCTGAGCTCAGACCAGGGACCCCCTCCAGCCAGCCCCTCACCTGAGGCAGGACAGGACAGTCCACCCGGGTGGGTGCAGGGGAACGCGCAAGGCCGCACGGGGAGGGAAGGCCAAGCAGCAGGGAGCACCCGGAGCGGCCACGCAGGCACAGAGAGGCCCAGAAAGGACAGCCCAGCAGGGAGACGACAGGTAGGGGAGGCTGCCAAAGCTGCCCACTGGTTCTGGAGCCGCGCACTTCCCCTTTGCTCTGAGGCATTTCAGGACCTGACAAAGCTGGCGTGCTCCCTGGCCACCACAAGCTTGCACAGAGACAGAGGGGATGCAGGGTGTCCCTTTGACGATGAGTAACTGGGAAGTCAGAATAGACAGAGAGAAGGGTGGCCGGTCCATAAGGCTGGGAGACCAACTGAACTGAGTACAAGTTGCTCCAGGTCGGGCTCCTCCAGGTGTTCTCTGCGCAGATGGCAGGAAATCAAGGCAGGTGGGTAGGAGCTGCTCTGCTCCTCAGTGCAGAGGTGCACCCTGGCAGGGTGCTCGGAGCTGCTCGCAGCCTCCTCTGGGTCTGCACTGACCTCTGAAGCTCCCTTGATTCAAAACCAGAGCTCGTGGCTTGGTGCTGTGCTAATTCGAGTCTTGCAAGCCTGGCGAGGCTCGTGCAGCTCCCCTGTGCGAAGAGGCCTCTCAGCAGCTGGAGGCCAGGGAAATGCGGTGCTGGCCACGGTGTTGAGGCAACTGGGAAACGGGCTCTGTGCTTGTAGCTGCTGCACCTTGCTGCAGTGA